CTGTTCCACAATTCTTCCATTCATGCCTGATTAACCTTCCATCACATTCTCCAAGAAGCTTCCACTATTTAGTTATGACCTTTATGAGACCTTAACCCTGTTCCTTCCTGCCTCCTGTTCACATACAAGTTGCCTCCTCTATCATAGAAGATAGACCATTTGCACCCAGCTACTGCAGTTTCCCGTTTCCCCATCATTTTTACCCTATGCTTTGTTCCAGGAAAAGGTGTCTGTGTCCCTTTTCTAGTTGTCCAAAGATACTCCTCTAGCATACTTACTTTTCTTATACTTACTTGACTTCTCAATGACCTTCATTTAACAACTGGTTATTCTCTTATGTGGATATGTTTTTTAAACATCAAGTCTCTGTGGCCTTTACTTCTGTTGATAAATTCATATATTCTCTGACACTGCACATTAAAGGGGATGCTTACAGTTTATAGAGGTTTCAGTCCATAATCGGCTGTCTCCAAGTCAGCATGTTTGGCAGAGAGGCATCACAGAGGAAAATAGTTTATGATGCCACAAGGCAGCAAAAGCAACTAGGGACCTTACAGTGCCTTTCTTCTCCTTTTATCTAATTCAGACTACTCAGGGCAGGTAGCATTCACACCCTTAATCCTAGTTCTCTTGAGCCTAGCATTGTACCATGAGTCAATTCTAGCATGACATACTATAGATTGAGTCATCTCTGCAAAAGCCCCCTCTGTGACCACATGAGTGCTACTTGTGACACATCTAAACACAAGCCAAAACAGTCTGCTATCCTTCGGGTATAATGCTATACTGAGAGAGACACAGAGGGAGATTGTATCTCTTTACGCATTTCTTTGAGCACTAACTTCTGACTTTGCTTAATACTTTTCAATACAGGTTCTGCCAAAAATATCCATAATAACTTTCTGGCTTAGTAAAGAGAATTTCAAGACTGACTTCCAAATTCTGAACCATAATGATTAATTTTGAGTGATTAGCATCCAAATTAAACCAGTACAAGCACAGTAGTATCCATATTACTGTGCTTAAAAAGACTATTTAGTTAGAGAAAGGTAGTTAGGGAAGGGAGGGAATAACCTCAGGGCACTATGCCAAAGAGCAGGGGTAAAACTGGCACGAAAAATAGGCAGAGAAAGTTGGGATGCCTGTGCTTGTGATGCTCCTGGAAGATTACAAGGACAGTGGTCATTAGAAATCAGATCATCTTGTGAAAGTGCTTTGCCCTCGCAGCTAATGAGTGCCCACATGTCTCTGCAGACTCAACAGATAAAAGTCACCTGTCTCCTCCTCAGTGGTACCACACTGGTCCAGATTTTTATTATCCAGTTGATTGCACAGGTCTCCCAGCAAGGTCCCTGCCTCTGTATTCTTTCCTCGCCTTCTCAATTTGCCCTTCGCACTGAGTCTATTGTCTAATTCTGTTTGAATGTAGTGAGAACTAAGAAAACAATATTTGAACTACATAAATGAATTTTAAAATTTCCAAAGATTTCTGACCACTGTTACCTTCAAAAACTCTATTATTTATTTATTTTGACACTGGGTTTCGCTATGTAGTCCAGGCTGGTCTTAAACTCTCAGCAATCATCATGCCTCAGCCTCCCGAATGCTGGGATTACAGGCATGTGTCACCATGCCTGCCTGCAAAATTTATTTTTAAAGAGATGAATTATTTTTTAAATCAAACCAAAAAAAAATTGTTCTAGGGGGTCCAAGAATCCCTTTTTTAGGGATGAGAATGGGGAGCTAATAAAGACAATTTTAAGATACATAACACTGAAACAAAAGAGGCTGCTTTTCCTTAAACTCAAATATTAAGGCAGAAATCTTTAATCATACACACTTACCACAAAAAGGCTAAAAGTTAATTTGCTACACAGCACTTATAATCTTCTATTTGCAGAAAGGTGGAAAATTATGTTGAGGTACAAAATTCAAGTTCTAAATATGAAAATTTCAACAAATTGCTGATTAGATCATTACTAGACTGTGAAGATATTAAAAAGCCAATAAAAGCTGTGAGTTCAGCTGGCTTCTATCCCTGGCTGTCAGGGACCAATGTGGATCACTATTAATAAACAGGAATCAGTGAATTCCCAAGCCTCAATTTCCTATCAGATAAAAATGCATCAAAATTATGAACATTTCACAATATAATTTTATGATAGCATTAACATCATTTTCCACACAATTATTCTGTTGGGAAAAGCATGCTTATGTTTTCATTACTGTGTTTTCATTTATAATTCAGCAATCATGATTTGTGTAAAACAGCAATTTAGGAATTGTTTAATTTTCTTTATGGCACTATCACATTATTTTTTATTTTTGGTAGATTTTTGAAGTTGATATCTAGCTCTTAATTCATTTAGAACAACCTATGATTTTTAAAAAAGACTCTTGGGGTCCAACTTGAACTGGATAATTTAGAAAAAGTTCAAAATGCTAAGACTTTCAAGAATAAATCAAGTGCAAATGAAGATGAACCAAGCTTTTGATTTTCTCTATGGGAAATAACCTTAATCTTATGAGAAATAATATTGCTACTGATGATTCACATAAGCGTTTTACCAAAAAGCTTTAATAAGATATTTTAAGACACAGGAAGTTGGACTCTAATCTGTGAGCTGGTCAGGCCAGTTTGAACTCACTAATCAGGTAGGTCTTTATTTAAAGCTGCTTGTGAATAAATTACTTTTTTCATGTCAGTAAAAAGAGACTCAAAATCTTTTTGGCAGCTGTAAGCATTTGACAGTTTTGTTTAGTGATAAATTATCATATGACATTAACTGCAAATTTTTCTTTTTCAAATGAGAAATTTTATCTGCAGAAGTGAGCTTCAATACTAGGCCAAGAAGGTCTTTCATGTATATTGTGAATATTCTGTTGCTTTCCCTATGTAATATTTATTTTATTTTGTTACTTGTTGGGGTGCCTTATTTTATAAAATTTGTTTTCATAATTCAGTAATAGTCACACACTATACTGAACTGAGAATTACTCCGTATGCTTTAAGACAGGAATCTGCAAGCATATATCTGAAATGATCAGATAGCAAATATTTCAGCCTTTGCAATTGGTCTTGCAGAAACTACTGGACTACAATGTCACACTGCAAACATAGCTCTAAATTTTTACAAACCAAAAGGTGAGGAGGCCTTGCTCCAATGAAACCATATGTAAACACGTTCAGCGGACAGAAACGGGGTGTGGTTTGCTCACCCTACTTGGAAAAAGACCTTTGTGTAGACAGCGAGAAAAGGGTTCAAGGACTCAGGAAATACTACTTCTTCTCTACAACTGACTGAATTTAGCTGCTCCAAAAATAAATATCATAGTCAAATTAAGTGCTCTAGAGGCTCTAGAGTTTTACTGCATTGGCTTCTCTTGTAATAAATCATACTCTGTTGACTGAATTTAATTCGAGCCAACTAACATCTACTGAGCAGCAATATTGTGACATCATCATGGTACATAGTATAACTGGCAGTGTTTCTGGTGACTGGGTTTGGAGAAAGGAGGTATCTCAGTTTTGTTACTAATGAATAAACACTCCGATATGCTTCTAATTTCCTTCTGCCACTTTGGCCTCAAATATGTGGTGCTGCATGTATGAAAGACCTCCACTCAGGAGGGGGAGGGAGATATTGACTTTGAACTTCCACCTCAGGACTGTCGTGATCACTGGTTTCTTTCTGATTACCTTTTACTTAAGAAACTTATACACAATGCTAGGGTACACTGTCATACTTCTTTATTTTGAGGGTGAAGGAGCACTGGGTTTCAATTCCTGTATGTTACTGTACCAACAGGCTGAACTACTGTTAAGAGTAAAATACACTCTCTAAAACTCATGCTCCTGGAGAAGAGAGTGCATGAACCTCTAAGGAAAGAACGGCAGCAGCAATTTATTATTCTTCCAGCTGCTCCTGTGACTCAGTTCAAAATGAAGTAATTATGTAGATTTTAAAAATTTTTAAACATTACATTCAGCATTCACATTTCTAACAGGTATAAAGCAGTATCTCTAATTAAATTCATTAGAAGTTTTGAACAGCTGTTTAAATCATTAAGATTTCTGAAGGGCTACTTTTTTAGTTCACTAACTGGAGTTATGAAAGCCTTATCTCATCCAAGGAGGAAAATAAATTATTCCTAAAACTCTTCATATGAAAATAATGAAGATTTCATAGGCTTTAAATATATGAGAATAGAATTCGTAATAATTCAGAAACTAATTGAACTCTCAATTCATTGGTAGAAATAGTAATTTTAGCATTTTCAAACAATAAAGTTTACTAAATTTAAATTTTATGTGACATTTTTTGTGATTTTTACATAATAATGACTATCGATAGTTTGGAAATTCATTGTGACTTAATAGATACACATTTCCCTAGAAAAACCTTAAATCTTTGTAAGACTTTTAAGCTAAAACTTTTAGCACTGACTTTATTTAATGACTACATGGTGTTAATTTTTTTTAGAATTCTTCTGCCCTGGTAAGGTACCATTTTTACTAAATAATATACCATAGCCCTATAAAGCTATCATCAAAATAACACAATGAAGTTACTGACTACAACATTCTTTAGAGTACTTACATGTTGTAACTTTTATATTTAAAAACCCATGGAGAGTGACTCATTCAATAGGTTAAACTGGGACATAGCTCAATAGCTATGAGGTTGAAACTGACTGCAGTTAAAAGCAACAGCATACAGTATTGTGTGTGTGTGTGTGTGTGTGTGTGTGTGTGTGTGTGTGTGTGTGCTGGTGTCTAATGTCTTGTAACATGACTTCAGTCTAGCAATGACCAAACAAGTGAAAATAACTAACACTGATTCCAAGTCCAGTTCTAGCATCCAAGCTGGAGTGAAGGTCTTTGTATTCTAATTCTTAGGTTGCGGTTTCTAATACAGACTGGAACAGCCAGGATTTGAACTCTAGCGGTGAATAATGTTCCTGAGAGAACTCACAGGGGCTGTTTTGTCCTTCCCCAGGATTTGTCATTGCGAAGGGGATGAAGAGAGCCCCCTCATCACACCCTGCCGCTGCACGGGGACCCTGCGCTTTGTCCACCAGTCCTGTCTCCATCAGTGGATCAAGAGTTCAGACACGCGTTGCTGTGAGCTCTGCAAGTATGACTTCATAATGGAGACCAAGCTCAAGCCCCTTCGGAAGGTATAGTATCGGCAAAGATTGGTTTGAGAGAGAACTTGTAAAGTAGGCTAGGCTTAAAAATCCACTTTCTTCCCCAGTGAGACTCTTAGAGCTCACTAATGACTACGAAGGATACATGTCCTGTGTCAGATTCAGTGTTCAAAATGGGGCCAAGGCTTTGCAGGTAGCCATTCTCTTCTCCTCTACTCTATATTCTGGGACCTCTAGTTTACCAATGACTCTCAACAGTTAAAAATAACTATGTGCACTGTCAAGCATGAGGTCGTGAGTTCGATTCCTGGCACCAATAAAAAAAATATGTACACATACCTACAGAGAGAAACATAAATGGACATGGATATATAATATACAAAATTCAATGCATTGTATGGATGAGAACCTAAGAACATTGCATTTATTGAGGATAATCTCCGAGGAAGTTAGAAAATAGATTATATGAAGCAATACAATTCATCTAATATCTTGATTTTTTCTATAAAGTGTGAACTATTTTACATGTTTGCTTTTATTTTGGGATTGGTTTGTTGCTTTTTATATGTAATTAGAGTAGGTAAAATGAAAACATTAGTTTGTATATTATGAATCAAGCTGTAAGAGAGATATAATCTTTTGAGTTTGTGCTTCAATTCGTTTATGTCATTTTCTTCCTAAAGAATGAAGGTCAGACTGAGCTAAGTCTGAAGTTAACATCTTACTCTAAACTACCAAAGGACTGCTTGAAAGGGATGCAAACAAGGGCAATGAACTTTATATAATTTGTGCTTAAGAGCCATGTCCCTGGATACCAGTATGTAACTTATTCATCCTTTTGCATAACTACAGCTTTACATATATATGGATGCCTCAATCTCCAAAGGGAAGTGTAGAAACAGCAATTTAAATAATGAATCAGTCCAGATCTGCTTTTTCATTTAAATTAAATGCAGAGCTAGAGTGAACAGAGAGAACATTACTTGAGAATAAACATGATGGGATCCAGAATGAGCAAAGATGAAAAGCAAGCAAGAATATTCCAGTAGGCATCCGACTGGGGGCTAGACATTGTGATTCTTCATTAATTTTGTAAATTATGGAGACAGAGAATAACATTCGCTGGTACTCTCTGACAGCTTTGATTTAAAATGATCCGCAAATGATGTATAGATGTCCAAAATTATATAAAGTGCCTTTGGGATATGCATTATGTTTTTTCACTGAAGTGGTGGCCTGAATGTCAAAAGGTGACACCTTGTTCCTCTAGGTCCCAGAGTAGTCAATGCCAGAAGTAAGAATGGAGGCCTTTTCCTTGTCCTTTGCTTTGTCCACTAAGTAGATGCTGTCTACTATTTAGAGCAGCTAAATGACCCTTGGGCTCCATGAGTCTCTGAATTTCTTGTCTTATGTCCCAGGGAATCAGGAATTATTTCATTTCAATTGTATAATTCTTCATTTATTCCCAGCCTTTCTATATACAAAATTTCCATTTCAGCTTTGCCAAACATAATATTTCAATTTGATGGCAACCGTCTAGGGTAATAACATATCCATGTCTCTTGCATTACCAACCATCTCTTGTTTTGGTGTAATAATTGAAACATGACACTTAAAGGAACTTTAAGTCTTTATCTTACCCTCAACTTCTGTAGAATCATCCCTTAAATACAACATTGACCTCTCTTTATTTCAATACCAGTAATAATTTACAACCCTATCAGGAAATCTTTTTTTTTCCCCATTAACTTTTTATAAATCAAATAGAAAGGAAACAAGCACAACTATCTTTTAATATATTCATTGTCCACAGTAATAAATAGGTTCCTACCATGTAATAGGTATCAGCTCTCTTTTAATTAGTGAAATGTCCTAATATTTTTTTAAATTCTTTTGGTTGATCATAAATATTGAACCACAATGCTGTATTTCAACATCATTTTTATTAGCACTTATGTATAAACAGTGAGTGTTAGATTCCAAGGCAGAGGTAGCTTCCTGGCAGCCAATGGATGTGTTTTATTTAACCCATCTGGTTATAACTAAAATATTAGTTACCAACATTTAAATGCATAAACATTTCACGCAAAACTTTTCACACTTAAATCTGTTGAGCAAACATAGTACATGAGTTCTTATTTGACAGTCACCCATAGGCTCAGTGGTGACTAGCCAATGAAAACACAGTTAGCACTCCAGTTCTTCCCATTTTTCATCCCCTGCTCTCTTTCGGATCCTCTGAGCTCATGCCATCTTCATTCATCTATGGCCTGTTGAAGGGATCTTAATTTGAGTCCTACATGTGTAGCACATTCTCTTCCTCCTTCCAGATTTATGGACTTTGAAAACAGAAATATTATTTTATATTCTCATTTCTTGAAACTCTCCTCATTTCCTCTTTACCAAGCATAGGGAACCGAAATAACACTTAAGAAGTGGTATCTGGAATGCCTTTGCAGACTGTGAGGTGATGCAACCTATGCAGATGCGGGACATTTTTAAACTGTTCTAGATGATTTGTTTTGATGGCACCAGGATTCATCAACACTTTTCTTTGGTTAGTTTTTAAGTGGCTATAAAGAGTACCAGGTGCAGCATTAGGTTAGAATATATTTTAAGTACATCCAATTAATTGCTCTCAATTCAGTAATTCCATTACAGTTTATAACATTCTAAAGACCAAGCCCATGAAACAATTAATTTAGCTAATGATTCTGAACTTCTACATTAGCCAATAGAGTCAGAAATTTCTGTTTAAACAAAGTAACTTTGGTAGTAGAAAGGTGCAGATCTTCAGAGTCTGATGAAGCTTTAGGCTTAACAGTCTCTAAAGATACCAGTAAAGACTTACTTCATTAATTGCTGTTACTATGTCAAAATCTACAGTTAGCAAATGCATCAAGGTATCCTACGATTTTCAGAAGAAAATCTTTAAAGTCCAAATAAAATCAAGGGCTTACTCAAGGAAAAACAACTTTCATCATCTTTAAGTCAGTAGTTCAGCTATTTTTACAGCGTTCGATGAAAGTCTCATTAATTTACTCAGGATCAGAAGTAATTCTCAGAGCTCAGAAAAGTTGAACAATACAAATAGAGAAAGTTCAGTGACTATTCAGTGAAATTTGGTAAGGTACACAGTATTCATGAGAAAACATGAATTAACCTCTTAATCTGAAAGTGCAGAATTTCATGAGTTATTTGAATCATTCTGGAAAGAGAGCAATCAGGCATCAGTATGAAAGTAAGTTTATAAGGACCACAAGTACGATTGATTTATATCTTTTCCTAAAATATTCCTTTATATAACTTTCTATATAAAGATGATTTGACAAATTTATAATATAAAGTATGCAATACCATGCATCACTTTATTCTTTCCCTCCATTAATTAATTCAATCTTCATTAAACCTCATTTTATGTAGGGATATGTCCAGCCCATTTGATGAGAAAAATGAGACAGCATCACAAATTCTCTTGATGTCACACACACCAGAGAGTCTTGATTCTGACCTCATGCTTATGGGCACATTGTGTTATGCTTCTGCTCAGTGACAAGTTTTCTTTAAGCACCGAAACATTAGTTTTTACTTAAACCATTTCGGGTAGAAATCTTTCCAAAAATTATTTTCTTTCCAAAATTATACTTTTCTGAATATACCTTCTTAAACATGAATATTTTACCTGATATCATTTACTAACAAAACTTATAATAATATAAAGACATCATTTAGTTTGCAAGCTAAAAACATTAACTTCAGTTGTTTAAAGCACATATAAAGCTTTTGTCTTCATTCTGGTTTCCCCGGACTTCTGCATTTTGAAACCCTTTTCGTGTGTCTGCATTTTGTTGTTTCTCCTTTTTCCCTTTTGTCAGAGCACCAGCCAACATACTTCTCTTTCTCCAACAACCTAATCCAATAAACCTTAACCTTAAACAATGAGATCAGAGATTATAGAATTGGCACTACAAAACTTCGAGGTAATTCGAGATGTGCTTCCTAGAGGCTCTGTTTTGATAATGGGCAGCAAAACTTTCACTGAACATGGATTGTGACCTCATCCTAGTATTCTTTTTTGCATTCTCCTTAATTCTCCACTTTACTCATGAAGCTTGGGGTTATATGATAAGAAACTCTCAACACACGAAAATTTTGAAATCTCCAGGCTGTTCCTCTATCAGTGGAACTCAGTTCTCGGTAATAGCTTTATAGTTCCATTTCTTCTTAAATACTGTAAACAAACTTGCAGGCAATGAACACCCCTGTATAATTCAGATAAAACTTTCCTTAAAGTTCTTGATAAAAAACTTAACCATACATAATTTACAATATATACACATTCTCTTGTTTTCTTGTGCTAAGTTTCAATTCTATTATTATAGGAGCCCTTTATACAGGAAGTATACGTGATTTTAGGAAATGATTTTGTTTTCCAGCTGGCACTCTTCAGATGAGTCAGATAAGTCTTTTGCAACAATTTTTCCACCTGGCACTATCTACACTTACATAATGTCACTTTCTCTGTGATTCCTTCATTGAGAAGCTACTTGACTGATTCCGTGAGAAAGGGGAACACAAGGGTAAACTGCAGAATAGCACAAAGAAAGATGATCTGTTTTTTTTTTAAAAAAAAACTGTATTAACACATTTAAGATATTAAGCTTTCCACTAAAATTATTGGGTTTTTAAAATTTGTTTTGGTGCCTTAACACATTGGTACTCTCAGAAACTAAAACTGATACATCAATTAAAAATAATGTTACAGCACATCTAAGTCAAATCATTATGAGATGGAAATCATTGGTGTCTCATGTTTAATTCTAATAGATACTTGGGATTTCTCACATGGATTTATCTTTGTCTTTAAATGAAATAACACTAGGTCAATTGGGTTTTGATGTTTCAAAGATGTATTTAATCATCTAGAATCAGTGTTCTACAACTGCTTGTTCAAAATAGAAGTATCATTTTCTGAGAAACCAAACAGCTTATTGTTTTCTCAAGATTCCATTCATAAATATGGTAGCCAT